TTGGGCGTCGACCCGCCGCTACAGCCCCGCCCTACCCCTCTCACCGGTCGCGGCCTCCACCTGCAGCAGCCGCCGGGAGCCCTGCAGTAGCTGCTATCCCTGCCGCCGCCACCGAGCCTACCGCCACCGGTGTCGTGAGCCGCCGCCACCGCTGCCGTCGCTGCTGCCCCGGCCCTGCCCTGCACCCGAGCCGCGACCCCGACCCTGCCGGCGCACCACGCCCCTGCCACTCCAGTGGCGGCCACCCTGCCCACCTGCCCCTAGTAAGCGTGTCGCCGCCCTGCCGAACCGCCGTGCCAAGCCGCGCCATTTAGCCGAGTTGCGCTGCCGCTGCTGCTGCCAGCCTCCTGCTGCTGCTGTCATGGCCAGTCCCAATGTGCTTACCTTCGATGCTGAGGGTCAAGCGATCGATTTTGAGGTCTGGGTCAATGATCTGCAGCTTTTCTTGCAGTGCGATAGCAAGGACGGTCTCTCACTGTTCGATCTCCCGTCTGGCGCCTCTTCTGCCCCTGCTGTCGATGCTGATAGTACTGTTCGCTCACACTGGACCACACGCGATGCTCCTGACCGCCTTGCTGTGCGTAGTCACCTACCGTCCTCTGAGCGCACGCACTTTAGTCAGTACAAGAGTGCTAAGACCCTGTACGACGCTGTAGTTGCACGCTACTCCTCCCCTGCCACTGTTGCCCTTAGCCGCCTCATGTTGCCGTACCTGTTCCCTGACCTCGCCGCCTTTCCCACAGTCGCTGACCTCATTATGCACCTCCGCACTAGTGACACCCGCTACCGCGCTGCGCTTCCTGCTGAATTCTGCGCCATGAACCCCCCCCCCCCCCATGTACATCACCCTCTACTACCTAGTCACCCGGCTCCCTGACTCCCTTCGCTCGGTCAGGGACCACTTCCTCTCTGTTTGCCCCACCACACTCACCGTTGACCTCCTCGAGGAGCGTCTCCTTGCAGTTGAGAAGAGTATAGTCGCTGTAGGAGCCTCTCGTGGTGACCCTCGCGCCCCTGTCTTTGAGGGGTGCTCCCCCGTCCCCCTTTTGCCCTCTGTTGCCTCTTCTGCTGCTGTGGACCTCGTTGGCATCGAGTCAGTCGGCGCTGCGTCTGCTCCTAGTGGGAGGCGCCGCAACGGCAAGGGCAAGGGGGGCAAGGCGCGGGAGGAGCTGGCGGGGGCGGCGGTGGAGGCGGCGAAGGGGGTGGGGGTGGGAGTGGTGGCGGGGGTGGGGGCTTCGGTGGAGGCGGTGGAGGTGGAGGCGGCGGCGGCGGTGGCGGCAGCAGCGGTGTGGGTGGAGGCGGCGGTGGGGGTGGAGGCGGCGGCGGCGGCGGCGGAGGTGGAGCTGGTCGGGGTGGAGCTGTGCAGCGGGGAGACTTTGGTGGTGGTCAGCGCCAGCAGCAGCAACGCTCTCATGAGACCCCGCCGCCCCAGCAGCTTCGTGAGTGGTACGCTGCGCGCCAGCGGTCTGGGGGTGCTGGTCCCTGTGCCTACGTCCTGCGTACAAGCGACCGCACTGGGGAGCCGTGCGGCGGGCCGCACGCCACCCAGCGCTGCTTTGGCCGCCTGACAGACGCCTGGCGTATCCATATCGCTGACGCCACTGAGATCCCTCGTTGGGGTGATCTGCTCAAGTCGGGTGTAGCTATCTTTGATCTTGATTATGATGCTATTCTTGCTGCCATGTATGTCGTGTCTACTAGTGCTGAGGGTGACTGTTACCTGTGTGTTCCGCCTGACCCGGGCATTGAGGCTGCTGCTCTAGGTGCTAGTGAGTCTGTTGCTCCAGGTGCAGGTGAGTCTGCTCTCTCAGGTACCGCGTCGGCTCAGAATTTGCACACCTTCACACTTGACTCGGGTGCTTCCCGCTCCTTCTTTCGAGACCGCACCACACTCACGCCGCTTAGATGGCCGGTTGCAGTGTCCCTGGCAGACCCCTCTGAGGGTCTTGTCCTTGCCCACTACTCCACTGTCCTACCGTGTCCGGCGGCCCCTTGTGGCTCCCTATCAGGTCTTTACCTCCCCTCGTTCTCTACGAACTTGGTGAGTGGTGCTGACCTACACGATGGGAGGGTTGACCAGTTCACTCCTTCGAGTCAGCGAGTGACCCACTGCACGTGTGCTCGGACGGGCCGACACTTGGCCACGTTTACCCGTCAACCGGGGTCGAGCCTGTATGCACTGACTACCGAGTCTCCTCTGGTCACTGCGTCTGGTCAGGCTGCTGCGTCGGATCAGATGTTTGCTGCAGCGTCCAGGTCTGTTCCTGAGTCTGCCCCCTGCTCGTGTCATATCCTGTCTCACCAAACTCTCCTCTGGCACCACCACCTTGGTCACCCCTCCCTACCTCGTCTCTGAGGCATGGCCTCCCGTGTCCTTGTCTCTGGTCTCCCCCGGTCCCTCCCTCCCCTTCCCCCGGGGCCTGCCCCTACCTGCGTTCCCTGCGTCGAGGGGCAGCAGCGCGCCGCTCCTCACTCCTCCGAGTTTACTCCAACAGAGGCTCCGCTGCTGACTCTCCACATGGACGTGTGGGGCCTAGCCGCATCCGTGGACAAGGTCACGAGCGTTACTTCCTGCTGGTGGTTGAAGACTACTCGCGTTACACAACAGTCTTCCCCTTGCGCCGCAAGGGTGAGGTCACTGAGGTGTTGATCGACTGGATCCGCGCTGCCCATCTCCAGCTCAGAGAGAGTTTTGGATCGAACTTTCCTGTCCTGCGTCTGCACTCCGACAGAGGTGGAGAGTTTTCCTCCGACCTGCTGCGACCCTTCTGTCGTGCGGAGGGCATCCGCCAGACGTTCACGCTTCCAGCCTCTTCACAGCAAAATGGGATAGCTGAGCACCGCATTGGCATGGTCATGGATGTGGCTCCTACGTCCATGATCCATGCGGCTGCTCCCCTGTTTCTGTGGCCATTTGCGGTTCAGTACGCGGCGCATCAGATCAACCTTTAGACTCGGGTCTCCAGGCTGGAGACCTCCCCTACTCTACGGTGGACGGGGAAGGTTGGCGATGCGTCTGCGTTCTGTGTCTGGGGATCTCGAGCTTTCGTCCGCGACTTGTCTGCTGACAAGCTGTCCTCTTGTGCTGTTCCCTGCGTCTTCCTTGGCTCCCCCCCTGACACGCCTGGTTGGCAGTTTTACCACCCCACCTCACGCCGTGTTCTGTCCTCCCAGGACGTTACGTTTGACGAGTCGGTTCCTTACTACCGTCTCTTCCCCTACCGCGCTGCCCCCCTCCCCCCCCCCACCGCTCTTCCTCGCGCCGGGTCCCCCCCCGGTAGACCCCCTCCCCCCTCAGGGTCCTGCCCCCTCAGGTGTGTTCCAGGTAGACGCTGTCAAGCCTGTCAAGGTAGCTGTTGACTCTGGTGCTGCTAGGGGTGCTGAGCCTGTTGTAATTTCATATTTCATACAACATACATAGGCTAGAAGTGTAGCACATTTATAAATTGGGGGGTTGCCTAGTGTACCCTCCAACCACATTTTGTGGTTGGTTGGGATTGGTCCTTAGCTCAACCAATCCCAACCAACACACATTTATGGTTGCTTGGGTCACAAGCAAGCTCACCCATTGGCCAACTTATTGGCCAATAGGGTAAGCTTCCCTCTCATCTCTCTCTTGCTCATTGTTTGTACTAAAGATCCTCTTGGCTCATTATTCAATGTATCGATTCTCTCTCTTCTAACATGGTATCATGAGCTAATGGCTCACGCCTACCTCCCTCGGTCCTTAGGCCACCTTCTCCTCCCCGTTCCTCAGATCTAGCCCCACCTACGGAGCTGCCCTCCCTTCACGCGCCCTTTAGGCGCTGTCCTCCCTCCCCGTGCGCCCCCTAAGGCGCTGCCCTCCAAGGCACGTCCAGATCTGCAACTCCAGCGCCCATATCTGCACTCTCCGCGCTCAGATCTGCAACTCCAGCGCCCAGATCTGCACTCCCCGCGCTCAAATCTGCAACTCTAGTGCCCAGATCTGCACTCCCCGCGCTCATATCTGCAACTCCAGCGCCCAGATCTGCACTCCCCGCGCTCAGATCTGCAACTCCAGCGCCCAGATCTGCACTCCCTGCGACCAGATCTACTCCTCCCGCGCCTAGATCTGATCATTCCGCGCCCAGATCTGCACTCCGCGCGCCCAGATCTGCACTCCGCCCGCCCAGATCTGCACTCCGCGCGACCAGATCTGCACTCCGCGCAACCGGATCTGCACTCCGCGCGACCACATCTGCACTCCGCGTGACCAGATCTGCACTCCGCGCGACCAGATCTGCACTCCGCGCGACCAGATCTGCACTCCGCGCGACCACATCTGCACTTTGCGCGCCCAGATCTGCCCTCCGCCCAGATCTGCACTCCGCGCAACCAGATCTGCACTCCGCGCGACCAGATCTGCCCTCCGCGTGACCAGATCTGCCCTCCGCGCGACCAGATCTGCCCTCCGCGCGACCAGATCTGCATCTCCCGCGCTGAAATCTGACCATTTCGCGCCCATCTCTGCACGTCCCGCTCGTTTGCCGCGGGCTGGCCCGCGTGCATTCGCCACGGGCTTCCAAGTCGCGCGGATCTGCCGCACGGCTGCCCTCTTCGTCCCCTCCCCCCCCCTCTCTCCCTTCCTCCTCCCATTGTACCCGCAGCAGCACCACCAGCAGCACCCTCCCCCCTTTCCTCCCCCATAGCATCGCCCTCCTCCTCCTCCACCCAACCCACCCTCCGCTCCTCCCTTCCTCCTCCCATCCTACCTGCAGCAGCACCAGCAGCAGCACCTGCAGCGGCACCACCAGCAGCACCCTTCCCCCTTGCATCCCCCATAGCATCGCCCTCCTCCTCCTCCACCTTCCCCACCCTCCGCTCCTCCCTTCCTCCTCCCATCCTACCCGCAGCAGCATCCGCAGCGGCACCAGCTGCAGAACCAGCAGTGGCACGGGCAGCAGGGCCAGCAGCAGCATTGGCAACGGTACCCTCGCACCATCCTCCTCCTGCCCTAGCCTCTACCCACCCTCATGTCTATGGCATCGTCGTCCGATTCTTCCGTCGACCTTGCCACTGTTGACGCACTCGAGTTGCTGCCTGACAACTCTGTTGCTAATTGGCACTCTTATGCTCATTCCGTTGAGGTGCTCCTCTCCTCTGTTGTGGTCAGCGGCTACAACCTTCGCTCAGCTGTCTTTCAGGAAGGCAGTGAACTTCAGCCCGTGGCCCCCACCGCTCCTACTGGACCTGCCCCCGCCCACCCTGGCGCCGAGCCCTCTCCCCCCGGTGATCCTCCCACCTTCGCGCCTAATGTCAGCGACCCGCAGAGCTCGGAAACCGCCATTCGCACCTACCGCACCAATCTCCAAGAGCACCTGCGCCTGCAATTGCGTTACGAGGACGACAGGCGCATCTATGACGAGGCCGCTGCCCGCTACAACACGTACCTGGAGGACCTGGACACCTACACTGCAGAACTTGCAGACTACACCACGAAAATTAATGCCTGGCGGGTTGCTGATCGGCGTGCGCTTGCCATTCTTCTCGCCACCATCCTCTCCTCCCTCAAACGCGAGCTCTCACCTACCTCCTCCTCCCACCTGTGGCGACTGCTAGTCGACCTTTTCGATCGGCAGGACGTTGCCACTCTTTACACCCTTATCAAGGAGTTTGGAACTCTCTCCATGGATTCCACTTCTGGCGCAGCTGCTTTCACTTGCCGTGTCTTAGACCTTGCTCGGCGCCTTGCAACACTCGATGTGGTGTACCCGGACACCGTCATCTGCTGCCACCTCCTCGAGGGCCTCACACCTGCCTTCGACGCTCACAAGCTTGCTTACATGCAGCTTATCTCCAAGCACCACACCCCTGCCGAAGTCGCTCAGTGGATTATCACCACCGAAGCTGAGATCCTCCGCCACTCTTCCTCCACAGCCGCAGCAGCCCAGTCGCGCAGCAGCCGGGGTGGACGTGGCGGTGGGCGTGGGGGTGGGCGTGGTGGTGGGCGTGGGGGTGGACGAGGGGGATCAGCAGGTCGCGGTGGTGCTGGCAGCAGTGGTGTGGGTCGTGGTACGGCAGCTGCCTTTCCTCCCTGTCAGTACATGCCTCGCTACGGTCCCACTCGGGGACAGCGCGGCGGCCAAACCACCCATGCCACTGAGACGTGCTTCAAGGCACTCAGTGATGAGTGGTTTGCCCGTGGCAACACCGGCACCCCTCCTCGCTGGTCCGCCCTCAACCCTCGCCCCACTCCCCTTGAGGTCCGTTCCTCTCCCCTTTATGAACCTCCCTCCTCCACCCACGCCCACCAGGCCCTCGCCCCTCCCCAGCAGCAGCACCAGCAGCAGCAACAGCAGCAGCAACTTGGGAATCAGCAGCAGGGGTCATAGCAGTATGGGCAGTAGCTTCTCCTCTCTCAGCTCCAGCAGCAGCTCCAGCATCTCCAGCAGCAGCTCGACCTCCAGCCGCAACTGCCCATCCTCCCTCCTCCTCCGGTTTCCCAGCAGCAGCCCTTTCCTACCTGGACTGCTGGGAGTGCTGCCTCTGCAGCCCATCTCTCGGGTGCGTCCCCGGCGTTGTCTGCAGGTGGCAGTGTGACCGCTTTCCCTTCCTCTGGTTTTGTTGGTTTATTAGGTCAACCTGAATCTGTTGCATCTCCCATGTACCCTTCTTCTGCTAATGAAACTTCGTTCCAGTACTCTGCCTCACCTTCCTCCACCATTGACTTCGTTCTGGACAGTGGAGCCACTGACACTATCCTTCGCGACGCTGGTACACTGCGCCCTCTCCCCACACCAACCTCCCTCCTCGGCGCTGATAGCAGTTTTTCCATCCCTTGTCACAACACCTCCACCCTTCCCTGTCCTCTCTTTCCCTCAGGTACTGTCACCGGTCTCCACATTCCCTCCCTTCGTACTAACCTCCTCTCCCAAAGGTCCCTCCAACAAGCCATGATCACCACTCTCATCCCAGGTGGTGCTAACCATTGTGACCTATACCAAACCTCCACATGTCGTTTTCTCGCCCGTATTCCCTATTGTCCCCGCTCCCGTCTGTACACCCTTCGGGTTCCCCGCCCCCTCACCTTCCAAGTTGCCTCCCCCCCCCTCCTCCCCCCCCCCCCCCCCCCCCCCTCCCCTCCCTCCCACTAACCCACCCCTCCCCCCCCGCCCTCCTGACTCTGACTGTTCCTGTCGCTCCCTCTCCCACCCCACCATCCTCCTCCATCACAGGCTAGGCCACCCCAACTTCGCTACTCTGCGCTCCTCTGTCTCCTCCAGTCTCCTCTATGGTCTCCCCTTCTCCCTCCCTCCCCTCCCCAAATCCCCTGCCCCCCCCCTGCACCGTCAGCGTTCAGAGCAAGCTGAAGCAGCAGCCGCACCGGAGCTCCCCCTCCACTGCTACGCAGCCACTTGATCTTGTTCACATGGACCTATGGGGCCCTAATCCCTCTCCCACTCGCCAGGGCCATCGCTACCTTCTCATGCTCGTTGATGATTACAGTCGGTACTCGTCCGTCTCTCTCCTTCGGACGAAGGCGGATGCCCCGGCTGCGATCATCGCCTGGCTCGAGCGGGCAAACACCCATTTTGGGCGCCCTGTTCGCTGCCTTCACTCTGATGGAGGTGGTGAGTTCCTTAACAACCAAGTCTCCTCCTATTGTCAGTCTCGTGGCATCCTTCAGACTTACACCCTCCCTCACTCCCCACAGCAGAACGGCGTGGCTGAGAGTCGTGTTCGAGAGATCACCAAAACAGCCCGGTGTCTGCTTGTCCATGCCTCCTGCCCCCCTTCTCTTTCGGGCTACGCCCTCCTTCATGCCGCCCTCCTTACTAACCTTTACCCTCACCCCCTTCTCCCCTCCATCACCCCCAATGAGCTGTGGACGAAGGACAAGCCTGATGCCTCATCACTTCGTGTCTGGGGCTCTAAGGCACATGTCCTCATTCACCCCTCTGACCGCTCCCGTTCCATGGGAAAGCTTGCCCCTCGTACCCTTCCCTGCATCTTCCTTGGTCATAATCCCTCCTCCCCTGACTACCTTTTCCTTCACCCACCATCCGGTCGTCTAATCCGCAGTCGGGATGTGGTCTTTGACGAGTCCACTCCCTACTACTCCTCTCCCACATCTACTGACCCTCTCCCCCCTCTCACCCGTCCCCTTGTCTGGTCTGACACCACCCCTCCCCCACTACTCCCTCCTCCCCCCATCCTCCCATCCCCCCCTTCTCCGCCGTCCCAGTCCCATGGTGCCCCTCCCTCTTCTGGTGACATCTTTGACCCGGAACCTCTGTCTTCTCCTGTCTCCCCCGCTCACTCCTCTCCTAGTACCCCTCCCCCCCCACCCCTTCCTCTCCCTCGCCACCAACCCGTCCTCCCCCTTCCCGCACCATACTCACCCGGTATCCCCACACCAGGTCACGTGACGGTATCCTTGGTGCACCGCCTCGCGTTACCCTCTCTACCTCTACCCTCCCCCCTGTCTTCCCCCTCCTCGGTCACTTCTTCCAGGCTGTCTTGCATCAAGCCCCTCATGCAACAGCCCCCTCAGCCACCTCCTCTCCAGCAGCGGCACCAGCAGTGGGACCAGCAGCGGCAGCAGTAGCAGCGCCAGCAGCCGCAGCAGCAGCAGGACCAGCAGCGGCAGCAGCAGCGGGAGCGGCATCGGCAGCAGCAACGGGACCAGCAGCGGCACCAGCAGCGGCACCAGCAGCAGCACCAGCAACAGTACCAACAACAGTATCAGCAGCGGCACCAGCAACGGCACCAGCAGCGGCGCCAGCAGCGGCACCAGCAGCGGCACCAGCAGCAGTACCAGCACCGGCACCGGCAACGCCTCCACCAGCAGCACCAGCAGCGGCACCAGCAGTCATCCGTGCCTTCCACACCTCCATCTCTGAGGACTCCTATGAAGAGTTCCTTGACCTCCACCTTTATGACCCCTCGCTTCTACCCATCACGTTCGACCTCTCTGGCACACCTGTCTTCGCCTTCTCCTCTGCTCCCTCCATTTTCGTTCCTACCACGTACGAGGAGGCAATGGCGTGCCCTAACGCTCCGCTATGGCTCGCCGCCATCATCAAGGAGCTGGAGGCCTTTATCGGCAACTCCTCTTTTGTCGATGTGCCTCGCCCTCCCGCCCCTACGAACATGTCTTGCGTCAAGCAGCTGCCAGGGGAGCCGCCCATTTATAAGGCTCATTACTGCGCCAAGGGGTTCACGCAGCGGTATGGTTTTGACTTCTTCGATAGCTTCTCCCCTTACTGCCAAGCCTGCTACTATTCGCGCCGTGCTCGACCTCGCCGCTCGCCTCAATATGGAGATCCACTCGATGGACGTTTCTAACGCCTTCCTACAAGGCGTCCTCCGCGAGCTTATCTACATTGAGCGTCCAGCCGGCTTTCGCCTCCCCTTCCCAGCAGACTCTGTCTGGCAGCTGCGTCGACCGGTGTATGGGCTCCGACAGGCCCCGAGGGAGTGGCATGCTAAACTTGCCACCACCCTTGCTGAACTTGGGTTCCGCACCTCCCGCTCTTACGCCAGCCTCTTCCTCCGCACCTCCCCCTCCCCATTTTACATCCTTGTGTATGTCGATGACATGATTCTGCTCACTGCCGACCTTGGAGAGTTGGAGCATGTTAAGGCTGAGTTGGGCACCCGTCTCAAGTGCAAAGACTTGGGAGAGCTGCAGCATTATCTGTGCATGACCATCACTCGTGACCGCTCCGCCCGCACCATCTCACTCTCCCTTGGTCATTACTTGCAGCAGGTCTTGGAGCGGTTTGACATGGCCCGCGGCGGCGCCCAACATACACCTCTTTCTGTCGGGCACCACCTCTCTCCACCCACCTCCCCCTCAGCCTCCTCCTATCCTTATCCCGAGCTCATCGGCTCCCTCATGTACGCCATGGTCTCCACTCGCCCTGACCTTGCCTACCCCATCAGCGTCCTCGCTCGTTTTGTTGGCGCAGGAAAGCATACGCAAGAGCACCGGCAGGCCGCCAAGCGTGTCCTCCGGTACCTTCGTGGCACCAAGGACTATGTCCTTACCCTTGGCGGCCCCTCCCCACCTCTTCTCAGCGGCTACAGTGACTCCTCCTGGGCTGATTCCCGGCCAGATCGTCGCTCCTCCCAGGGCTATGGCTTCTCTCTTGGCAGCGGCCTTATCAGCTGGCGCTCCACCCGCTCCTCGGCTGCAGCCCTCTCCTCCTGCAAGGCGGAATTGTATGCCGCCACCATGGCTGCGCAAGAGGCCCGCTGGCTCACCTTCCTTCTTGAGGAACTTGGTGCCCCCCAGCGCTGTCCCACAATTTGGTGTGACAATGCTAGTACCATTCACCTCACCAAAGATGCTGTGTTTCACGGGCGCTCCAAGCACATTGAGCTCCGTCATTTCTTCATTCGCAATCTAGTTCAGGCGGGGCACCTTCGCCTCGACAAGGTTGACTTGGCGGCCAACCTTGCCGAGATCTTCACAAAAGCTCTTCCTCATGCCGCTCAGTCTTTCCTACTTCGTCTTCTTGGACTCACTCCTCCTAAGTCGCCTCCCGCCTCTTGATTTTAGCCTTCTAGCCTTATGCATGTTGGGGGGTTGTGTTGTAATTTCATATTTCATACAACATACATAGGCTAGAACAGTAGCACATTTATAAATTGGGGGGTTGCTTAGTGTACCCTCCAACCACATTTTGTGGTTGGTTGGGATTGGTCCTTAGCTCAACCAATCCCAACCAACACACATTTGTGGTTGCTTGGGTCACAAGCAAGCTCACCCATTGGCCAACTTATTGGCCAATAGGGTAAGCTTCCCTCTCATCTCTCTCTTGCTCATTGTTTGTACTAAAGAGCCTCTTGGCTCATTATTCAATGTTTCAATTCTCTCTCTTCTAACAGAGCCTGCGGGTGCCGGGTCTGGGGGTGCCGAGCCTGAGCGTGCGGAGCCTGGGGGTGCTGGGTCTGGGGGTGCTGAGCTTGGGGTTGCTGATTCTGGGGGTGCGGAGCCTGAGGGTGTTGGGCCTGCTCGTGTGCAGTCTGGCGGTGCTGGGCCTAGAGGTCCTTCGGGTGCTTCATCCTAGCGGGAGCTACTCTCTCCACAAGAGCTGCGCGAGTGGTTTGCTCGGCGCTGGAGCCGTGCTGCTGGAGCTGGTGGTGCTGCCAGAGCTGGAGGTTCTACTGCTATTAGGGGTGCTGGAGCCACGAGTGCCGGAGGTGCTCGTACTGGAGGTACTGGAGTTGCTGGGCCTGGAGGTGCTCCTGGTGCTGGAGCTGCTGGCGGTGCTGGAGCTGGCGGTGCTGCTAGAGTAGGTGCGGCTGGAGGTCCTGGAGCCCGAGCTGCTACATCTTCCGGTGGTCCTGCTGGATCTCGAGCTGCTGGAGGTGCTGGAGCTGG